GCTGCCCCGGGCTTGCCGATAGTAGGGCCTACTAAAGTCGCCCACGGGCGCGTGCCCGCCAGCGCGCGCCCCCTTCTGCAGGGCGTCTCCCAGAAGCAAGGCCGGGCCCCCAAGACACCCCTTGAGACGCCCCCCCGAGACTGGGCTCTTCACAGGCCACGCCTGTGGAGACGAGAAACCCCATCCCTAGACGCCCCCCCGAGACACGTTTGGACCCCTTTACAGGCTACCATTGGAGGCGAGAAACCCCCTCGAGACGCCCTCCCGACACTGGGCCCCTCCAGACGCTTTCCAGAAGCCCTCTAAAAACTTTCCAGAAGCTCATGGCAGGCGCTTCATAAGACCCCCAGAAGCTCATGTGAAGCGCTTCAGAGGCGCTTGCGAAGCGCTTCAGGAGCGTTTGTGAAGCGTTTCAGAAGCGCTTGCTCAGAGGCGCTTGCTCAGAGACGCCAGCGCAGCGCTTCGAAGCCCCTGGCGAAACGCGCCAGCGGCTCTGCAGAAACTCTGCAGAGGTTGTAATCCGTTTGGAATCCGGCGTTCGTCTTGCTGAATTAAAGTAGGAGTCCTTCACGTCGGGATCGGCCCCTCTCAGGCGGTTGGAATCCGCCCCGAAGAATTGGGATCGACCCGAAGTGGTCGGGGTCGGCTTTATTTCCGCCAGGGAGGAGGGGCCGCCGAGGGCCACCGAGGAGGGGTACCCGAGGAGGGGGCGGGCCGAGGTGCGTTTCCGAGGGCGGGTCTTCGAAGGGGGGCCGCCGAAGGGAGGTCCCCGAGAGGGGGGTCGCCGAGGAGCGGGCCCGAGGGGGTCGCGCTCCGAGAGGGGGGGGCGCCCGAGAGGGGGTCGCCCAAGGCGCCCCCGATGGGGGGGTCTACGAGAAGGGGGTGGCCGATAGGGAGGGGCTCGAGAGGGCGTCGCCGACGGGGAGTTCCCGACGCGGCCCAGGCAAAGGGCGACGCTCCACAACGCACCTCAATGTCCCGCCCGACCGACCCGACCCGCCCGCCAGACCAGCGACCCGCCCGCCCCCGCAGCTCGCCGGCGAAGCATGGCAGGACGCACCACAACGTACTTCAGTGTCCCGCCCGCACGACCCGACGCGCGCCGCCACGGACGCGCCACCCGCCCGTCACGGGCGTTCGCGCGCCAGGCATGCGACGACGCACCACGCCTTCACGCCCCGCCCGATCCGACCCGCGCCGCCGCGGGCGCCCGCGTGCCGGGCGAGTGCTGACGCGACCAATGTCCAGCTCGCCCGGCCCGCCCGCCGCGGGGCCGCGCGGCCCCCCCCCCCCACGCGCGATCGAGGAGGGCGGAGGGAGAAAAAAGAAAGGGGGGACAGGCGAGGACGGGGGAGAAGGGGGCGGAGGAGGAGGCCCCTGGGCTACCCCCTAGAGCCCCCCCCTGGGAGCGCCTAGGGCCGCGCCCCAGGGCCTGCATCATCATATGCCTGGCGCGCGAGCGCCCGTGGCGGGCGGGCGGCGCGTCCGTGGCGGCGCGGGTTTGGTCGGGCGGGCGGGACATTCAGGTCTGTTGTGGTGCGTCCCCTTTTGCCTGGCACGCGGGCGACCGTGGCGGGCGGGTCGGGTCGGTCGGGACATTCAGGTATCTTGTGATGCGTCCTCCAATGCCTGGCAGGCGGGTCGGGTCGGTCTGGATCGCGTCGAGGGCCCCCCTCCCTGACTTCCCTCGGTGGCCCCCCCTCGGACCTCCCCCTCGGAGACCCCTCCCTCGGGGCCCCCCCATCGGAGATCCCCGTCCTCCTTGGGGACCCCCATTCGGGGGCCCTCCCTGAACAGATCTCCCCCCGTTGTTTTTCCAGGGCGCAATTCAAGACGGGCGGGTAACGCATCCGTGGCGGCGCGGGTCGGGTCGGGCGGGTGGGCATTCAAGTATGTGAGAGAGCAGCGTGATCCACCGCCGCTTTGCTGTGGAAAATTCCCCCCCCCTCTTCCTCCGGAGCCCGGGGCCCCCCCCTCCGAAAATCCCCCCCCCCTGCTGAACCCCCCCCCCTTTCCCCCGGCAAAACCCCCCCCTCCCCTCCCCCCCCCCCCCCCTCCCCCACAAAACCGGTGGGTCACTAATGCCGGTTCGACCCCCCCCTCGGAAAACTGGGGGTGGGTCGCTACCGGTTCGAACCCCTCCCCCCCAGAAAGCCAGAGGATGGTCACTACCATTTCGAACCCCCCCTCCAAAAAACCGGGGGGGGTCATTGCCGGTTCGAACCTCCCCCCCCCCTCCTCGAAAACTGGGGTGGGTCACTGCGGTTCGAACCCCCCTCCCCCTCGAAAGCCGGGGGGGGGGGTCAATGCCGGTTCGAACCCCCCCCCCCGCCCCCCCCACCCCCTCGAAAACCAAGGGGGGGTCACTCTCGTTTGAACCCCCCCCCTCCCCTCGAAAGCCGGGGGGCCACTACCGTTTGAACCCCTCCCCCACCCTCTCACCGCCAGCAAACGACTCCCGGTCCCTACCACCGTCCGCACCACATCCCCCACTGCTGTTCCCGGCACCGCTGTCCTCACCACCGCTGTCCCCGCTGGTTCCACCACCGTCCCTACTGTCCCCACCAGTGCCCCCACCACTGTCGCACTGTCCCCACTGTCCCCACCACTGTCCCCACCACTGTTCCCAGCACGGTTCCACTCTCCCCACTTTCTCCACGGCCCCAACCACTGCCCCACTGTCCCCACTGTCCCCGCTGTCCCACTGTCTCCTCCGCTGTCCCACGGAGTTGTCCCACTGTTCCCACCACTGTCCCCACTGTCCCCACCACTGTCCCCGCTGTACCTCTGTCCCATTGTCCCGCCGCCGTCCTCGCCACTGCAGTGCCCCCAGCAGTGTGTCAATGTCCCCACTCTTCCCACAATTGTCCCACCACGGTCCCACTCTCCCCACTTTCCCCACGGTCCCCACCACTGTCCCACTGTCCCCACTGTACCCACTACTGTCCCACTGTCCCCGCCGCTGTCCCACTGTGCTGTCCCAGCGTCCCCACTGTCCCAATCACTCTCCCACTGTCCCCACTGTCCCCACCACTTTCCCCACTGTGCTACTGTCCCACCACTGTCCTCACCACCGCTTTCACCACTGTCCCCACCACTACCGTCCCCAGCACTGTCCCACTGTCCCGCTGTCCCCTCACCACTATCCCCACCACAACCGTCCCCACCATCCGCACCTCCCCCTCCCGGTTTTCGAGGGGGCGGGGGGGGGGTTCGAACCGGTAGTGACCCCCACTCGGTTTTCGAGGGGGGGGGGGGTTCGAACCGGTAGTGACCCCCCCTCCTTTTTCATGATGGACTGGGGGGGGGGAAGGTTCAAACCGTAGTGACCCGGTCCCCGTTTCCCCCCCCCCCCCCCCCTGGGTTTCGAGGGGGGGGGGAGGGGGGGGTTCGAACCAGTAGTGACCCCCCCGCGGTTCCGAGGGGGGGGGTTCGAACCGGTAGTGACCCCCCCCCTTTTCATGATGGACTGGGGGGGGGAGGGGTTCGAACAGTAGTGACCCCCCCCCCGGTTTTCCCGAACCACCCCCCCCGGTTTTCCGCCAGCAGCGGTAGAACACGCTCTTTCAAGGATGTTGTGGTGCATCCCCCTCCTCCTCCTCCTCCTTCTCCTCCTTCTCCTCCTACTCCTCCTGCTCCTCCTACTCCTCCTACTCCTCCTCCCTCTCCCTCTCCCTCCCTCTCCCTCTCCCTCTCCTCTCCCTCTCCCTCTCCCTCTCCCTCTCCCTCTCCTCTCTCCTCCTCCTCCTCCTCCTCCCCTCCTCCCTCCTCCTCTCCTCCTCCTCCTCCTCCCTCCTCCTCCTCCTCCTCCTCCTCCTCTCCTCCCTCCTCCTCCCTCCTCCTTCTCCTCCTCCTCCTCCTCCTCCTCCTCCTCCTCCTCCTCCTCCCTCCTCCTCCCTCCTCGTGCTTCTCCTCCGGCCAAGGCGGCTCTGCGCGGGTAGGCCCCAGGGGTAGGCCTAGGGTAGCCCCAGGGGCAGGCCGCAGGGGTAGGCCTAGGGTAGCCCTATCGGTACACCCTGCGAAATGCTTTAGAAATCATGAGTTAAGAAATTCATCGTCTCAGATCTGGAATAAAAACCCAACATTTCTATTAACATCTTAGGACTTACATTGAAACAGTAAGAATACTCGAGACTCTGGCCGAAAACTTAAGGTTTCTTAAGCATCGCCTAAGGTGTACTCCTTCTGTTTGCGCTTCTTTGAGATAGAAGGGTGGAAGGTGGATCCTTTGCAAAGCGGGGTCTCGCCTGAGTTGCGTGCCCAACGTGCGCTCGTCATTGAAGGGGAGCGCTTCCCGCAGTAAGAAGGGAATACTTGCCAGGACATGCTGAGGCGGACGGGACTTGGGACGGGAAAGTGTGTTGCAGCATCGTTGATGCTCCTCCGTTTCGCCTCCTCCTCCCCTCCTCCACCTCTTTCTTCTCCTCCATCTTCTCTCAGCCCATCGCCCCCTCCTCCTCTCCTTATTTTGGTTTACCAAGCGATTGCGTTGACCCTAAATGTCAACCGCGCAGAGCACTTGCGATAACCGTGCTATCCATAATGACGGCACAGGGAAGCTGCCAGCTTGCGGCGTGAATGCGCCCTAAAGCCATCACTTCAAACCTCCTCCTCCTCCTCCTCCTCCGCCTCCTCCTCCTCCTCCAACTCATCATCATCATCATCATCATCATCATCATCATCATCATCATCATCATCATCATCATCATCATCATCATCATCATCAGCATCATCATCACCATCATCATCATCATCATCATCACCATGATCATCAGCATCAGCATCAGCATCAGCATCAGCATCAGCATCAGCATCAGCATCATCATCATCATCATCATCATCATCATCATCATCACCTCGTGCTGTTTTTTCGACCACAGCTCGGGCCTCAGGCGGATGGAAACCACCTTGGTCCCCGAGACCCGAGAACGTCCCACGCCCCCCGGAAACCTTCGACGACCTTCCCCCTCCCTTCTCCTTCCTCCTCCTCCTCCTGCTGGCAGCCTCGCGTAGTCCACGTACTCGGCCACGCTCGCGCCCAACGCGAACGTGTCGGCGCCCTCGGCGTCGTCTTCGAATGCCGGGCTGCGGGCCTCGGCCAGAGAAGGAGGCATGACAGGCAGGGGCGCCGAGGCGACAATTCCACCTCGTCCTCCTGCTCCCCCTCCTCCTCCCGCTCCTCCCCCTCCTCCCCCTCCTCCCCCTCCTCTTCTTCCTCCTCCTCCTCTTCCTCCTCCTCCTCCTCCTCCTCCTTCTCCTCCTCCTCCTCCTCCTCCTCCTCCTCTCCTCCTCCCCTCTCCTCCCCCTCCTCCTCCTCCTCCTCCTCCTCCTCCTCCTCCTCCTCCTCCTCCTCCTCTTCCTCCTCTTCCTCCTCTCCCCCTCCTCTCCTCCCCCTCCTCCCTCCTCCTCCTCCTCCTCCTACTTCTCCTCCTCCCCCTCCTCGTCTCCCCTCCCCCTCCCCCTCCTCTCCCTCCTCCTCCTCCTCCTCCTCCTCCTCCTCCTCCTCCTCCTCGTCGTCGTCGTCGTCGTCGTCGTCGTCGTCGTCGTCGTCGTCGTCGTCGTCGTCTGGGCTCAAGGCCGTCTGGGCTCAAGGCCCCGACCAGGTCCGCGCGGCCCCTGGGCCCACGCATTCCCCCGCCCCAGCCTTGGCCGTCAGTGGCCCTCCATTCCCCCTCTGGGGAGGGTGAATGGAGGAGCCGGTGCCCTCTCCTGGGAACGAGGGTAGCTTTGGTCCTGGGGCCCTCGGTGTGCTCGCTGGCGCGAGGCCGACTTCTGCCTCCGCCAGGGGTGGCCTTCACGTACCCCAGCCCGCGGGACTATTGAGGATCCAGGACCCTCGTACCCTTCGGCTGGCGATGGCGATGGCGACGATGATCGCGGGCGCGGATCCGATTCCCTAGCAAGAAACATCACCGCCCCCCTCTCTGCCTCCCGCGCCTAGCCCTACGGGGCTCCCCCGCCAGGGGTCGCCCCCAGGCCCGCGCGGCCTCCCCCTCCTCCGATCCCTGTCTGCACTGCCTCAGATCTCTCAGGTCGAACTGTGCGGGCCCCGACCCCACCTCGACAGGAAGCTCCGGGATGGTCGGGGAACGGCAATTAGCCCCTCCGCGCAGCCACTGCGGGGCCCAGACAGCGGTTGGGGAGTGACATGGGGCCTGCAGATGGCGCTGCGGAACCATTCCCCCCCACCCCCCCCGGGCGCAGCAGCCTGGGGCTCCCTGGGCCTCCGCTCCCTATTGTGGTTCCGCCCGCTGGGATCGACCCAGCACCCCCTCACCACTCTCCTGACCCCACTCTTTCTACGGACGGCCGGGGATTGACCCAGAACCCTCCCGCCACGCTGACGAACCCCCGCCTCCCCCCCAGCGACCCCCTGCACTCCGTCGGCCAGTCCCTGAGCTCTCCGTGACAAGCCTCCATGCTCCGCAGGTAGGTAGGGGGCATCAAATGGGAAGTCCGCCGCGGCCTCCCCCAAAGCGTGTACACACACGGGCACGCAGGGAGGGTGGACGTGGCCGTCCCTCCTCGCCTCGGCGCCGGACCTCCTGCCACCAGCATCTCGCCCGACCGCCCAGCAGAGCATCGAGCAGGGACTGTATACCTCTGGAATTGCAGGTGACCCCGAGGACTTGGCTGTCCTCGATGCGGCATCTCGGGTCGCCGACGCAGGACGGCGCGACGACTCGCCCACGCCCCTGCTCTCCGTGGACTGAGGGTGCGGCCGGTGCTCTCTCCGCAACCCCGCTGCCATCCTGGCATGCCTCAGCCGCGGCGAACTCCATCCTGCACCTCTGCCGAAATTGGTCCGGCAATGAGGGGGCCGGGGGGGCAAGCCCGGGTGGTTTCCTCCTGCTCGCTTGCCCGCTGCCGTTGTTGGGTCGTCGTGCTCCTGCCGTTTCGGCCGTCTCGCCGCCGGCTGCCGTCGTCCGCTTGCTTGCTTGCTGTTTCGCCGTGTCGTCATTTGTCGTTGCCTTGTCGTCTGCGGCCCTTGTGGGCCGCCTTCGGGCCGCCGAGACGGTCCGAGTCGTTCTCGTCTGTGCGTTTTGTCGTGTCGCTGTCGTCTTGCGTCGTCGCTGTTGTCGTTGTCGCGTCGGGTCGTTTCGCGCTGTCACTCTTGCTCCCAGGCAAATGTTGCGTTCGCGTCCGCTCGGGTCTTGCTGCTCCTTGGCTCGTGTTCTGCCTCTTTCTCTGGTCCTCGTCTTGGGGCGTTCTTGGGCGGTTTGGGCGCCTCGTGGGCCGTCTTGGCCCCCTCGTGGGCTGTCTTGGGGCCCTCTTGGGGGCATCCTCGACCGGCTTGGGTGCCTCTTGGGCCGTCTTGGATGCAGTGGACGCCCAAAAGGCAAACACGCCCCAAATATCAGTTTTCCGATAGGAAATCGACGATTTTTGCTTATTGGGCCACTCTCGGGGTGCCTCTTGGTGCGCCTTCGGAGCCTCTTTTGCTCTTTTTTCGGGTCTCATGGGGGCCTCTTGGGGCTTCTGGGCCCCTTCTTGGAGCGTCTTGGGGTCTCCTAGGGAGGAGGAGGAGGTGGAGGAGGAAAGCAGGAGGGGCGCGTCCGAGCAGCGGGCCCTGCAGACCCACCTGTCCTCGCCGCACAGGCGCTTCCAGAAGTCCATGTTGTACCTGCGAGCCGCCCAGTCCTGGGGCTTGTCTATCCTGCGCCAGCGCGGGCGGCCAGAAGGGGGGAAAGGGTGGAGCATAGGCCCTAGCCCTCTTCGCCCGAGCCTCGCTTCGCAAAGGCCCTCCCAACCGGGGACCTCTTCGTCCAAATCCCCCTTCTCTGGGGACCTGGGCGAAGAGGAGCCTCAGGCGAAGAGGGCAAGGCGAAGTGGGGCTCGGGCGAAGAGGGCCTTTCCGGGGGGGAGGGAGGAAGGGACGGGAGTGGAGGGGCGGTAGGGATAGGTCAGAGGGAGGCGAGGGCCACAAGATTCGGCCGAGATCGATTTCAACGCCTGCCGAACAAGTCTCGAACCCAAACTCTGGCGTGATCGTCTCTGGGGACCGCCCAACATACAAACTTTTCTGATCATCGTGGGGGAGGTGGTCACACCTCAGAAGTATGGCTTCGCTGCGATCTGCACCGAAAACCTCGTAAGTGTCCGAGCACGGGAGACAACTTGAGTTTGCATTCAGCGCGAACGTTAACGTCGGCATGAACTCACCGTTCACCTGCTCGTTCAGGCTGACCTCACCTGCTCGTGCAATCAAGTCTGAACGTGTGAGTTGGCAATGCTCTTCTGCCAATTGCACAATTTGTCCCAAGACGGAACACATATGAACTCTCGTACGTCCTCCGCGGACGGTTTCCTCATGTTTCCCCGCTTGGCGCTGGAAGCGCGCTAGCCGGTGGTGCCGAACCCGCCTCCAAAAGGGGGGTGGCGGGGAGTGGGCGCAGCGCTGGCGGAGAAACAGTCCGCGGAAGGCACAAAAGCTCGTGATCGCATTGCTTCCTACATCTCCGACGTGAGGGGGGACCTGTTCAGGAGGGGGAACGGCCACCCGGAATCGGCGCTGCATCGCCGATAGATCGGCGATGTGCCCTCGATCGCAGAACCGCCTGCTTCTGGGCGGGGTGGGGGGCCCAGGCCCAGATTGGCGACGGGTGGGCGATTGGGGGTCTGTGCTTCGCCCTCTGGGCCAATCCCCCCCCCCCTGTCGTTGCCCCTGACCTGACATCAGCAGCGCTGCGCAACGACCGAGAGCAGCAGCGCCGAGCGAGCAGGCGCGCTCGGGGAGCCCGATCGGCCCGCGCCTGTGCAACAGCGCGCGCGGCTGTCAGCGCTATTTGAAACACCTCCATCTGGCCGATTCTGGAAAGCCTGAGCCGACGCGTGTCGACGTCTCAATTTTACTTCCGCCGCCTTCCGCCGACCATCCACCAGCGGATCCGCCGCCTTTTTACTTCTGCTGGCTTCCGCCGACGGCGAGGATGTGCCGAAGACGAGGCCCTTGCTGAACGCTGCATCTCGTTTCCATGCGCCGCGCCGTGTGGCTAGCGTCTTGCCAAGAGCCTTTACGTATGCAGGGAACGGCCCCCTTAACTTCGGCCCTGGCTGCGCCCCGCATTTGGGAGAGAAAGCCACGGGTACAACCCGCGGAAAAATCAGAGGCACTATGCAATCCACTCCAACACAACTGTGGTCAGTGTTCCAAGGTTTGCGCGGTACCAGAAGACCACCCTGCACACACACACATTAACTTTCGGATCTCCACGAGGACTTCTGGAACATTTGCGCATCTGCAGATTGCGCTTCTGTACTTCCAATCTGGCCCGTTGCCCATCGAGGAGGGGGGAAGCGGGCGCGGAACGGAGAGTCCAACCCAATCCAGTGAGCTCCAGGAGGCGTGGCCTGGAATATGAACGTCGCAACTGCAACCTCTCTCGTCGCCTTCGCGGCAATGCACCTCGCATGGAAACCGCGTGCAGGCCCGCCCGCATATCTACTCGATCACCCTTTGCGACGGCACGGGGATGATGAAGACGATTACGATGACGGTGACGACGATGATGACGGCGGTGGTGGTGATGCTGATGACGATACTGAGAATGACGATGATGGCGGTGAGGATGCCGCTGCTGCTGCTGATGAGGATTATGAATATGAGGATGATGGTGGTGATGATGGTGATGGTGATGATGAGGACGATGATGATGCTGCTGATGATGATAATGATGATGGGAATGTTGACCATGATCGTGGTAATGATGATGCTGATGCTGATGCTGACGATGATGACGACGACGACAAACCATCGATTGCCTGGGGAGCCGTGCTGGGCACCGTTAAGCCCTGGCCCTGGTAAACCCTGCTACGCTAAGCTACGCTATGCCTCACCCAACCATGGCCTGCCGCGCCCTGCTAGTCTGCTAAGCCCTGCTCGGCTTGACCAGGCTCTGCTTTGCCCTGATGGGCCCCGAAAAAACATTACGAGCCACTACTAATTCACGCTCAGTGTTGCTATGCCCTGGTACGGCCTGCGAACCACTACTAAGACTGGCTAAGCCCTGCGGGGGCCTGCTGCGCTCTGCAGAACCATGATTATCTCTGGCGAACCAGATTTTGATCTGCTAGACGCTGCTGAATGCTGGTCGGCCCTGATCTGCTCTGCGGGGCTCTGACATGCCATGATCGGTCACGCTAGGCCCCGACAAGCCATGATATGGCGTGCTAAACCATGCACCGCATTGTTGCCCAGCCCTCCTGAGACAAGCTGGGACCTGCCAAACTGTGATGAGGCCTGCTATTCCCTGGTAACTAGTGCTACATCCTGCCAGACATTGCTAACACGTGCTAAGCATTGGTGCGCCTTGCTAAGCAGGGCTAGGCTATGCCCAATCCTGCAAAGCCCTGCGGCGCGCTGGTACGTCCTGCTAAGCCCTGCTGAGGTCCTGTAAGTTTCCCAGGCCCTGCTGAGCCCTGCCAGGCCTTGCATAGTCCTGCTGGAACTTGCTCGGTCCTGACAAGTCTTGTTTCGACATGTGTAATCCTGCCAAGCCAGGCGCTGCTAAGCCCTGCCAGGCCGAGGTGCGGTCTTCGAAACACTGATCGGGTATGCCACGCCCTGCTCTGCTGTACAGAGCCTTGCCAGGCCATGCTAGGCTCTGCTCGGCACTGGTCAGGCCTGCTACGTTCTGGTATTCCCTGCTGGGCCCTGGGAAGCCTGCAACGCCTTGCAAAGGCTTGTGGATTCTGCTACGTCCTGAACGACTATGTTGGATAGTGTTTGACACTGATAGGCCAGGCCAGGGTCTGCTAAACCCGGACGAGCTTTCCTGACCCCTGCCCAGCCCTGTTACCCTCTGATCTGCCCAGCTTAGCTATCGTAGACCTGAGCTCTGGCATGCGTTGCTAAGCCCTGCTGCAGTCTTCGAAGACTTGCCATGGCATGCTAAAAACCCTGCTGACCCAACCTCTACAACTACTTCCTAAGCCCTGCCCTGCAAAGCCCTGCTGGGCCATCGTAAGCGCTCGCCCTAAGAAGGCATGCCAAGCGGCGATAATCCTATGCCCAACGTGGCCTCGCTGAGCCAGGCTAAGGCATGCCAAGCCCTGAAGTGCAAAGCCCTGCTAAGACAGGCTAGCCCTTGATCGTGCCCAAGGCACTGTTAGTCCTTGCTAGGCCCTGCTACGCCCTGCCAGGCTTCCACGTCCCAGACTTGCGCGTCATGTATGCAGTCCATGTTAACCAAAGAGGATGACAGAAAGAGAGAGACAGAGAGAGAGAGAGAGAGAAAGCGAGAACGAGAGAGAGAGAGAGAGATAGGGTAACGATAACTATGAAGAGAAGGGTGAATGCTCGTAAAACTCCTTTGGGATCCCGAGGCACTTCATAATCCCCCGGTATCGTTCTGGGCGGGGTCGTGTAGGGGCCGGAGTGCAGGGGGGGGTCCTCGGCGGGGATCCGCCGCCCCCTGTTGGCTTGCCACAGGGGTGCCCGGCGTGCTAGACCCTTTCGGCTTTGGTTTTGGTTGTTTTTCCCAAAGAACTCCCCCTGGGGCTTCGGCCCGTCCCGCTGGCCACCCGAAAGGGATCGCAATCCCCCCAAAAATCCTCCAAGACGGCTCAAGATGGCCTCCAAGATGGCCACGTTGGCCCAAGATGGCCTCCAAGATGGTCCAAGATGGCCTCCAAGTCCGCCCAAGATAGTCCAACACGGCCTCCAAGACGGCACAAGAGAATCCAAGATACCTCCAAGTTCGCCCAAGAAGCCTCCAAGATGGCCCAACACGACCCAAGAGGCCTCCGAGCGGTCCTCCAGGAGGACCCGAAGAGGCCAAACTCATTGATTTTCCATTGGTTTTTAAATGATTGTGGCATTTGTTTCTTCTCGGCACTCCGACGGCTCAAGACGGCCCAAGAAGCACCCAAGATCGACCCAAGATCGCCCACGAGGCCTCCAAGATGGCCCCATGACGGCCCAAGAGGCCCCCAAGACGGCCCCAAGAGGGCCCCAAGAGGCCTCCAAGACGGCCACGATCGCCTCCAAGACGGCTAAGATGACCTCCAAGACGGCCTAAGATGGCATATTGCCCAAGACGGCCCAAGAGACGCCTAAGAGGTCTCCAAGACGGCCCAAGAGGCCTCCAAGAGGTCCTCCAGGAGGGCCCGCAGAGGCCAAAATCATTGGTTTTCCTTTGGTTTTTTAAAGGATCTTGGCATTTGCTTCTTTTCGGCCTTCCGACAAACCAAGACGGGTCAAGAGGTCCCCAAGATCGCCCAGGCGGAGTCGGCAGAGTCGGCCGTGGCGACGGGAGGCAAAACACTGCAGAGTGCGGAGGAGGCGCGGGAACATAGTAGACTCTGAGGCAGTTCCGTTCCATTGATACTGCGGACGAAGCCTGGCAATGCGAGACTATTTCGCACAACGGCCAATGCAGCATTGGCGCGTGACTTGCAACCAACTGCAGCATGGATAACACCGTTTCTGCTCCGCGCGTCCCAAATCGAGCGCGCCACCCACGGCGGCTGCGGAGGATCTGGTGGCGGCGCCTGCCACCACCCAACTCCTGCACACGAGAACCAGCGAGCACTGTAAGCCCCTGACCCTGCTCTCCGAGTCGGACGGGGACACCCTCCAGATCGCCCAGGAGGCCTCCAATATGGCCCCATGACGACCCAAGAGGCCTCCAAGACGACTCCAAGAGGCCCCCAAGACGGCCCAAGAGGCCTCCAAGACGCCCAAGATGGCCCCCAAGACGGCCACGATGGCCTCCAAGATGCCTCGAAGACGGTCAACATGACCTCCAAGACGGCTAAGATTGCCGCTAAGACGGGCAAGCTGGCCCAAGATGGGCCCGATAGGCGTCCAAGATGGCCCGAGAGGAGCCGAATTGGTCCTCCAGGAATGTCAGAGGGAGCGAAAATCATTAATTTTCCTTAGGCTTTTG